AATTCCCCAGCCAGCATGGGAGTTGAAGTCCACTCATCTTAAAGTGGCCAAGTTTGGACAACACTGGCCTAGATAACAAGTTCACTCCTCTTTGTTCCAGATAGGAAGCTACCTGATTTTAATAAATCCTGGCAGAAGAGTGGTGCCTAAGGAGAGGACTAGCTGTTTTCAATAGAAGAGAATATATGTAGCTCAGGATTGAACTATGGAGTCCTTGGTGTTCTCTGAGCTTGGTTGTTTTCTTGCAGACATTTTGTGACCTGTCTACGTAACATCTTAAGTGCAAAAAGGGAGTGCGGTTTGCTCTCTGTTTATGTACAGTAACTTGCCCTATCTGTGTTGGTGGGGGAGTTGTTTTTTCCTTGGTAGTTCCTAGATTGATACTTGGTAGTTCCTAGATTCCTTGATAGTTCCTAGAACAGCCTAATCTAGAACAGCCTAATCTAGGAACAAACAGTCTGCAAGAAAACAATCATGCTCAGAGAATACCAAGGACTCGATTAGCTGTTTTGACAATCCAGTCTTACAGATAATTACTCAGACATCTTAAACGAAAGAGTTTATTCCAAGGTATAGAGTACAGAATAACTGCTCCTGTCTAGAATTCCATAGACATTCACATATTAATAAATATACATTGTTGCATGACGGCAGTCGCATGTTGCAAACCTGACCTTTTTCGAATGTATTAGGTATAGCATCCTGCTTAATTTGGGAGGGAAGAGACCTGATGTCATCCATTACCCTGCACTGACCTTTTTACCCATTACTGCAGCAAGGATGATGGAAGCTGTAGTTCATCGCACCTGGAGGAATGCAATAACGTTGCTTTATAGCGTGCAGATACAGGATGAACCCTACGTGGAGAAGAAGCTCAAAGGCGATGAAAATACGCATGCACTTGGGCGATCATTTTCACATTTACAATTGCTCTTGTTTTCGCAACCAGGCGAGCGGGGGATCTGTGCACTTACCCAGCCCCAATATGGGAATGTTTAAGCCATTAGAAAGGGGAACCGTGGGCACCCGCAATGCTTTGCCGGACTCCCAGGTGCTCATCCTGATCCGCCTGCACCTCAGCATCAAAGGCACCATCTACCCGCCTCCGTCATCGCCTCCCCAGGCGGAAACTAGCCACCAAAAGCCCACCGAGAGAGCAAAGAGCCAGAGTCTTGCTGTCGTAAAACGTCGCAAGCGACGAGCAGTCTTTTTACGGCAAGCACTGAAAGACCCCGGAAGCGAAGGCGAAAGCATGGAAGGGAAAAGAGGCGAACGCTAGCTGGGAACGCGCTGTAAGCGGGAGGGAAGGGATAGCGCTGCGCGAGACAGGGGTTCCGCGCGGTGTCTCAGCCACTAGGAGGAAGCGTGGGCTTCCGATGCCATGCTAAGCAGGTCCTCATTTGCATACGGCAGAGAGTTGGGTGTTTGGAATTACGCATGAATGAAGAGCAGAGGTTCTGCAAAATTTGATTACTTCTGTACTGGGGGCGGGAGGACCTGCTCCTGTGAATTTATCTTCTAGAGGCCTCGTGGGTCCCGTATCTTTCAGTGAGGAGTCCTGGGTCATTTACACTCAGTGTTTTCCCCCCAACAACCCTGTGAGGTGCATTAGGTAAAGAGAATGAGTGGCCAGTAGATTCATCCAGTGAACAACCTTTGTAGCTTTGTGGAATGTACTACCGTAGACGTGAATGGATATTCGAGTTAGAACAAAGTCTCCTGGATTCAATTTTCTTTACTCTTAGAAAAGCATTTTTAGAATTGTATTGTAGTCTTACTTCCTAGAGATGAAGCTTGCTTCCCGGAAGACCCAAGGACTATCAAGCAGTAGTTTTATGTATAATTCCTAAGCGATTTAGCTCCATTGAGAATTTGAATGAATTTGATAGTTGTTTTTCAGTGCATAAGGTTAACCAGATACAAAGCTAAATATGTTCTTTTATTACTAACAATATATATATATATATATTCACACCTATTTTTAATGCTTGATTTTAATATATGTTGCTTATTATGCAGTTACAAAGATGATGATTTACTACTGAAATCCACCTTTTTGTACAAATGTTACAGGAGTCCTTTAGTTCTCCAGCCCAGTTCATTGTGCCTTGACTGAATTTCTGCAGCTAGGATCTCTTAGCATGTTAGGTTAAAATATGGAGTATTGTGTGAACCCAGCCAATGGTGAAAGCTTATAGTGTGGGTTGTTGTGCAAACCCAGGCAATTGGATTAATTCACTTAACCAGGAATGAGGATATTGTGCAAATACAGCCCATGCTTAATATGGAGCAGAGGAACTTTATAAAGAAGGATGTCTTGGAAATGGAGTGGACTAGGTCATATGAAGGGTCATCAGGAATGCAGTTATGCTCTAGTGGTTTAATTTTTTTAAAATAAAACAATTCAGGCATGTCTGGAAGACAGAATCTAAAGTTGGGAACTGTAATATTATTCAGCTATAGCATCCCTCACCATTTTTAGGAGTTTATAAATATTGTCTATATGATGAATTGTTGATAAATCAGTTTTTGCTTTGTAACAGTGTATCTTATGGACAGATTTTGCAAGTCAGAACAAAATGATCTGATAAGAGGTTTCAGAATTAGTTGAGAGTTGCAGCTGAGGGACTGCTGAGTGGTTAGACACCTGGGTTTGGAACAAAGACTGTATTCATTTTATATGAAATCCCAAGGGCTTATTGAAAAATGAGTAAACCTAAGAAAAGTGGGTGGTATTAAAATGGAGAATATATAGGACCATAGGTAGGGTATAACACTTTTAATTGGTTAAATAAACACATGTGTAAAATGATATTTTTCCCTTTGGTAGTGGAATAGAAGTAAAGTGAACAGAAGTGAAGTAAAAATATTATCGTACAAGATACTTTATAACTCTTCCAAGGAGCTGTCAACTTTTTTAGTTATTATTTAAATTTGTATATTGCTAATTCTTCCAGACTAATGGCTACTTACAAAAACAATCATATAATAGAATGTTTATGATAAAATTAACCCAATCCCCAAACAACTTAATATAAAATACAGTGTACATAACAAAAATAAATAAATAATAGCAATTACTATTGCACCATAGAAAAAAAATTACCAGTGGCAAATCATTGGAAGAACCTTTTCAGTTTCTCCACATCAGCTTTATACTCATTAATGGCATAAAGTAATCAGCACATTGATTGTGGTTGTGTAGGTATCAGACATGTGAATAGTACTGTGAAATTGTTAATGTTGAACAACATCTCTGTTCCATATTTTGGAATATTGAAATCTCTGTATAACTGTATAATCTCTACATATTATTGTCTTGCATGTATAAATCTATTGGTTTTGCTTTTGTAACTTCAAAGCTGAAAACTAACATATTGTACTGCCAAGATATTCCAAGCACTCTTGCAGCAATTTTTTTCCTCTATGTTTGGACCATAGTAGCTATAGAATTTCTCAAACATATGTTCTATTACCTAACGTTAAGCTCCAATATTGAATTTTTATTGTATTTTTGTCTGTTTCATTGACAGGTGTAAAAATCCATACCAAAGCATTCCTTGGTTGTTGTTTTTAAAAAAATGCTTTACTTGATTGGTCTTGGACTTGGAGATGCCAAAGATATTACAGTAAAAGGGCTGGAAGTAATAAAGCAGTGTAGCAGAGTATATTTGGAAGCCTACACTTCTATGCTCACTGTTGGAAAAGAAGCACTGGTATGTGAATATAGGCAAGGAGAAGTATAAAACAAACAGTATCAGAGCAGCGCAGCAGTTGATCCCTAATCTGCCGTGAAATGTTCTATATAATGTTGCATCTAGTTACTATATCTTGATTTAGCCTACATAAAATTGGGAGTACCTCTGTGGAGGAAAGATAGAATGCAGCTGTAAAAAGTCAATAAAAATAAAAGCTTTATAAATAATTACAGTTTGGCATGGTAATTACATATGCATTTAAATAATTCTGATCCAAAGAACCTGAATGTTTTAGAAGTTTAGCATCAGATTACCATGACCCTTTAATGATGAAACTATAAGTTCTGACTGGTAAGATATACAATTGGCATTGAAGTTGGGTGCCCAGTTTCCAACCCCAAGGTGGGTAACTTGGCTTTGGCTTAATGTGATATGGGTACCAGGCAATGTGATTTGTTAACAATAGTAGATGGCTTAATGCAACAGGCAAACCCACCCTTTTGCAATACACCATCCTTTTAAATAAACCATATGGCCCTCAGCCCCTGCTTGTAGCACCCAAAGCCCCCCTCAATTGTGCTACTACAGTTGGTCAGTAAGTCACTAAATTCTGGCTGTGTGATTTCTTGTTGAATTAAAATAGCATGCCTTATGTTTTTTCCAAGTCTTCAAGTGGACTTAGTGCCCCTTAAACCACAAAAGTAATTTAAAAATTAAACATGCTGCCCCCTAGCCCAGAAAGACATGAAAAAGTCAGGCCCACTTGCTGTCCTCCGTGGTTGAGAATAGTATTAAAAAATGTGTGTCTATCCTCCATGTCCATCCACCCAAAGATTGCCTGCTTTGATACTTAGGAGAGTTGCATGAGTGACCTTAAGCATCCACTCTACCTCATCCTGACCTGCTTTACAGGATTGCTATGTGGTTATCACAGTGCCAAATCCTCTTGCATGTCACCTTACTTTCCTTTAGAACATATAAGATACAGATATAACATTATTTCTTTTTCTAGGAAGAGTTCTATGGTAAAGAGCTGATCCTTGCTGACAGAGAAATTGTAGAGCAAGATGCTGATACTATCCTGAAAGATGCACATAAAACTGATGTGGCTTTTCTTGTAGTTGGCGATCCTTTTGGGTAAGAAGAGAAACCTCTGAAAAGAATCCTACTGTTGATGGTCTTAAATCTCAATCTCTGGTTTGATTATACTGAAAAAAGTAACTTCTAATCTATAATATGTTTGCTTCAGAATCTCTTCCTTCAAGTTCCTGTCTGACTTTCATAACTTCCCTGAATAACACCATAATTGTACATCAGTGGAGGCTAATGTCAGAATTTAAAACTAGGGTCTAAAATGGATTTGGAGGCCCACCTTATTTATTTACAGTTATTTTATTTATTTACCATAATGTGTACACTGCCTGATCGTAATGACTTATGTGAGAGTCTTGTTCTTAGTAATCGTAGTTAATGCCAGATCCTGGAAAGGAAGGGAATTCGTGAAGAGAAATTGCAGGAAAAGCATGCTCCCAATTTCTTAGCTCTGATGGGATCAGACCTGCCAGGATGGCCACCTGTGTTGCATCTTTAAATAAGAATACAGACTTGTTTGCATGATATACCACCTTGCTCATCAGTAATGAAGCAATGGCCTGAAAATTGATTATCAATGTCCTAGCTACCTCTTAGAAAGCAGTATTTTTTGTACAGGCTGTTATTTATTGGTTTCTCAAGAGATTCAATTAGGCTTGTTCAGACTATTTTGTTTATTTTCATGTTGTATCTGCAACCCATGTGGTGGTTTTTGAAACTTAATGCTGCAGTAGAAGTTGTGCAATTTATGCATACTGTAGACATCTGGGTCATTACAGATCTCTCATGAGTTTGGCTTATTAAGTGCCCTTGCTCCATTTCCTCGCTGTACTCCTTCTTTTCTCCAGAACACGCCCTTTTGCCCTAGCAAGTCGAGCATCATCAATCTACAGTGTAAAAAAGAAAGAAGCTTTCATTTCCAGCTGGGGATTTAAAATTAATATTGTCTTTTTGATGAGAGTGTTGGGAAAATGTAATCACCATGGACATCATCTGAGGGGTTCCTGCTGGGAAATAAATGTATGCATATACATAAACAGAGAGAGATTAATGCACATTCACATCCTTAGCAACATGAGAAGGCTATTTTCTTGCTTTCTTCTTGCCTTTTTAAACAAATGGCACTTAACTACAGATGATGCCAACCATGGAGAATTAATATAATTACCCCACTCAAGAAAGCAGTTACATTATTAAAGGTGTCTTATTTGAATCTTTGTGCCAAAACACTGTTTCCATATAAATCATGCAAACACAAACTTCATGCCAAAATTATTTCCAAACTTTGCTGTGGGTGAATCTCAGAATTTTAAATGTTTATAAGCTTTGGTGGTCTGGCAATCTGATAATTAAAGATTAATCCAGATGAATAAAAACAGAATTAATCCTTATAGGGCTTGAAGATTCAGATATCTTTCTGTCTGTACGCAAATGTTAATTTAGTCTTGAAAGAATCTGCTCTGCTGCAAAATACTCAGATATTCTTGGACTTATAGGCCAATGAAGCAGGTAGTGGCAATAGCCAAGGAATGCATTCTGCCAGTCTAGGCTAATTTTATCAGTGATGGGTTATCTGGCTTCTGTTAATCATATGCCAGTTATCTCCATATTAGAGTACTGCAGTTACCTTTACTCGGTACTGCCTCTGAATATTGTATTAAAAAACAAACAAGCACAATGTCTGAATTCTAATGGAGATCCAAAAGTCTGAAAAATGCAACTGCCAGTTTTGTTACAGTTGCATTGGCTATCAGTTGTATTTGCAAGCCTGGGCCAGGTGCTGATATTAAAATATTTTAATCATTTTAAAACATAATCAATTTGGAATGAAGTTGAGTAGGGTAGGGCATGAAAGCTTAGCCCTTCCTAATTGTGATGGTTATGGGCCATAGTTCCCAGTCAATTGTTTGTCTACTTAACTTGGTTTTCCTATCTGTGAAAAGTGTGGCCTTTTTGATTCTTTACAGTGAGTTCTAAGAGTAAAATTTCATTTCTGTTAGCTGCCTAGAGTCCGCCTGGTTCCAGGTGGTTAGTTAGGTTTTATAAATAAATAAAACTATCCTTTGCTGTTTTCTAACTATTGCAGTTGCCATTATTACTCCCATCAGTCCCTAAAATCTCCTAGTTACAAAAAAATGATTAATCTTTACTTACAGTTAAAGACCAGAATTGTACACCAACCCAAAATCTAAACAACTGGGTACACATATAGTATTCTGAGCAACAAAAGTTGTTATATTATACAACGTATGGCCAGAGCAGTTACAGAACCTCAAAAAAGTGATAGAAGAAGGTTTAGTCTGAACAAGCCTTGGATGCACCTCAATGGGAATTAAGCACCAGTGCCAGAAAATGGACTGCTTAATCACTCTTTTCAGCCAGATGCTCTTTCTTGTCCCTCTTTCTCTTCCCTCAAATAAGCAGCATTAAACCAAGATACCTTGGGGAAATGGGAGCAGCTGAAGCCATTGTTTAAGTTTGGCGTTCTTATTAAATTAATTTCTACATTTGGCTGGATAATGCAATAAATGTGGTTGATGCATGTTTGATTAGGGGTTTTTGCAGAGTCGAAGCTCTGAGCAGTCAGTAGCTGCGGGAACGTCTTCTGTTTGGCAGTGTCTGGCTTTGCATTCAAATGCCTTAATGATTCTTGTTGACCATGTACTTCTGGCCTACTCATCTTAGTATCTGAATAGTAGGCCATATTAATTCCAATAAATATCTTTTTTTTAGCCATACATTAATCAGTGATCAGTGTCTATAGGGGGCTGCTGCTCTTTTAACTAAAGCTCCACAGCCTTAATTTGCATGTTTTCTGTACGCCCTACTGCACTTCTCTTGATTTCTTGTAATCTTTTGTTTTCTAAATCCCTCAGAAGAGATTTTTTTTAAGCTAGATGTTTGCCTGGCACATGCAGTGGAAATCTAGCACTTGTAAGGGGCTACCATTCACTTTCCCTGAATTCCTCTTGAATAGCAAATGTGAATGTATCAGAAAACAAGCGTTTTGCATACTGGTGCAAGTACAAAGCATGCATACCAAGTTTCTCATCTGCAATTACATGAAGCTCCGTTTGCACAGTAATTAAAGGGAGCATTGGAGTTATGCCAGAGTTACTCTTTGTGCAGAGCAGAGTTGCTGTTTGCCAGTCAACAGATGTCTTGCAGTTCTCTGAAAGACACAAAGAAGTGGAACACCTAGTTTTCAGATGCAATTATTTATTAAAATTAAAATGCAAACAACTGTAATTTTTAGCTTTAAGGTGTTTCACCTAGCTTTGGTGAATTTTTTGAATTTTTTTCAGATTTAGATGGTTGAGTTCAGTTTGGATTTTCATCCCTCTTGCTGCACTGAGGGCCATCTGAATGCTCATATTTTTCAAGTGTACATGTGTGAACTTCAAACTTACGATATAGTTTTGCAACTTTCGCGGCCAGAGTTGTACTTAGCCTTTGACTGGCATGCCAGAAACTACATTAACCTGGGGGAAGGTGAAAACAGGGCAGGAAAAAAACACATTTTGATTTGATTTGATTTTGTTTCTATTTCAACTGCATTGCATTATATAAATAGATTCATTATGTTTAATTAATACAATTGCTCTTGTTACATATTTAGTCTTTTTTTCTTTTCAATCGCATTAAGAATTACAGTTTAATAACAACTTTAGAAGTTCTCTGGGACTGTACCCAAGACTTTTGGGGTCACATACAATCCTGGGGTAGTGAACTTCTCCTTTCGAACCGTGTAAGATAATTGAGAGGACTAAATGGCAAAGCTATCACAAGAATAAACTATTTAATGTAAAAGGTATGTGGCCTTACATAAGGAATCTACTCCTTGCCCAGAAAACTAACAAGTTAGGAAGAAGATTCAACTTAATCTTCTCCCTGCTCACCAAGGAAAGCATCTAATCTGCAGTGTGACTCACCTACACTATAACTTGGAATGATACAGTTCAGGGAAACAATTATTACTTGAACTTATTGATTGTATACATTCACCTTCAATTTGGGATAACTATCATCCCATCTCCATATTGTACAAGATGCCATGAGATCTGTAGGTCTGTAGATTTGCAGCAGGCCATGAGTTGTAATCAGGCACACAGTGGTGCTTGAGGAGCAGGAACAGAACTAGGGAGTTGGGATATGGAGGTAAACATCTATCACAGCCCATGATACATGAAATTCTGCATCTGAATTGGAAAAGAAGAATTTTGAAAGCTTTATGTTTTGGGGAGGGAGTTGCAAACCCTTGCAGTGCTACAGAAAATTATCCAGTAGGCTACCATGTTTCATACCTCACCTTTTTACTGCAGGGCAACTACACACAGTGACCTTGTTCTCCGGGCTGTGAAGCTGGGAATTCCCTACAGAGTGGTCCACAATGCTTCCATATTGAATGCTGTTGGCTGCTCCGGTCTACAGGTATATGTCTTGAGCACATGGCATTCTGTTCTTAAGAAAACCACAGCTTTGTCTTTTTTTTTTAATCAGGGAGGTTGTAGAAAGCAGGTGATAACAGGCCATTGATCTATAAGAAATAGCTATGAAAGTTGTGCACTTTTTGGTCTTGTGTTTCAGAATCAGTTGTGGTCCCTTCCTCCCTCCCTCCCTCCCTTTTTTCTTTTTTCCTTTTTCTCAAAGTACTATAAGATAAGATATTGTAACTGAACTTCTAAACAGTAAAAGCTTCCTTTTTTTCTAATGGGCAAGATAAGAATGGACAGTGCTTTTCCCATAGACCTTGGGAATAAAACTCATAATCTAAGACCAGGGATATACCACTCTTTGTAGGTATTGCTGGCTTGACCCTTCAGTAGCACGCAGAGGCCACATTCTTCAAATGAATCTATTTATTTGCATAATTCATATACAACCCCATCCCAAGACTTTGGTTGGTTTAAAGTATACCCTAAAAACATAATTTAAAATTATAATTTAAAACATTCCTTCCAAATAGCATCATACATCACCACTTCTGTTCAAAAGCCCACCTAAATAAATGGATTTAGCTTATTTAGTTAAATTTATTTAGTAATGAGTAGAGCCAATATAAATTTTAAATTTTCTTTGATTTACTTTATATTCACACTCAGTTAATATTTCCTGTTAATGTCACATTAAAAATTAGAATTTGATAATTTGTGGAGGTCTCTGGGGGGTACACACCAAAGGGGGCTTATGTTGTATACCTCCAATTTAGATGATATTTTCTATGGTGACGTGGCAGAAAATGTAAGTTGAGAGCTGGAAATTTCTCTTGTGCAAATCTTGACTTAAATACGAAACTTTCTTGAGTTTAAGATGTTATTAGCCTCAGCTGTACATTTGTAATATAGGAATAATTAGCATTACAGGACTGTTTTCTTAAAATACTGACCCTGAAACAGTCAGAAATTTCAGATATACTCTCCATCCTAGTTAATACCATATTGTCACAGCCATGCCCCCTGAAAATGGAAGGTGATTATGATGTTGAATTTTACAATGACAGTCCCAATTTTGATGGGGATCTACAACATTTTAAGATAGATTTGTAGCAACCTGACCATAATTTAGAGTGGTATTGACCTAGAGAAGAAACAGTGGGTGAAGCATTATGAATGCAAAATATAATATGTAACTGTTATGGTATTGTGTACTGTCAAAATTTTGCCATTTGGTGGATTGTGAATTGGGCAAACTTGATAAGGATTTAGGATCAGTATATTTTTCCCTCTTGTTTGATTTGTATTTTATGTACCTCTTTCCTATGGTATACTGTACTACCACCACCTCCTTTTGCACTGGATTAAACAGATTCATTCCTGTGACTGGATAGCTGTCATAGAGAGATGGTATACTTCAGATCCAAAACTGAAAGAATGCTTCAGGCGAGTATGGAGGCACATAGCTGCGTCCTTAGCACCTCTTTAAAGAAACTCCATCTCTTCATGTTAAGGGCTTGCCAGTAGCAGACTCACACCCATTCTGAGGCACTCTGTTGAGCCCTGTCAAGGCTAGTCAGTTTATGCTAGTCACCCCAGATCTGATAGAAACCAAGTACCCAAATCTGATGCCTTCTGGATATTTTCCCATAACCATATAGTCAATCTGATTATGGCACTGAGTTGCAGAAGGCTGATGTAGCTATCAGAATCTAGGTAATGATGAAACAAAGGCTGGAGCCCTAAAGAGAGAGAATTATGCTGAGTGAAATAGTTGCACTGCTTCAGTGCTGGAGATAATTCTTAGAATTACTCTGGTGTAGCACTTTTAGGGCTTTTCTTAAAATAGGATATCTAGAACAATAGCATCCAGCTTGTGGTCTAGTATCCTTGGTAATATAAAAAGGAAATCCAGATGTTCCCTTATGCAGCTGCGAAATAACATGAAGATTAAGGGCCAAAATCTTAGGAGATTGCCAAATATCCCAAGATTTTGGCATTCTCCCCCAGAATTTCATGTTATACCGAAATTTCACAAATTCTGTCAATCTTCGCAAGATTAAAATATACAAGTTCTTGTTTTAATTTACCAGTGTTTATGTACTTTGCAAGTATAGATATGTATTGCAAAGGTAGTATCAACATTTTCCCTACTGTTGTTTTTTCACTGAAATTGTTAATTGCATTGTTGTTTATTTTATTTACCTTGTAATGGTAAAATAATACTGCAAAGTGGGTTACATTTTTATAAATAAATATCTCATTTACTTGGCAAGAGGTTAAGGATAAATGGGGGGAAAAATCTTTGATCTTTGCCTATTTCATAATTCATTATTGGAATTGTCAAAGTGGCAAAGGTTTGTAATTAAAACAGCTTTTAAAATGGATTAAAAGAAATCAGTCAGAAAGATCTTAGTTCTAATGGCAAACCCAAGATGCCTGTTGCTTTTATAAATCTATTATAGATTTTATAAATTTTATAAATTTATTAAATAGAAAATAAAAATTAAAAGAACTCCCATCATTCTAGACCCTCGGCCATTTTGGCTGGGGATTAAGGGAGTGGGAGTCCACTGAAACCTGGAGAACCATGTTCCTCACCCTATCTTATATCCACTTCCCAAAATAAGAGCTCGTGTTTGTATGTGTATGTATTCAAGACTGGTCTTGATGCAGAGGCTCATACTCCAATACTGAAAAACAGGAAACACCTTTACTTTTTTTTAAAAAAAAAAAAAAGCTTACATAGGGTGCGCTGAACCCTATGGTGTAATTCTGCCTTGGAGAGCAGCAGATGTGTGATATCTAAGCAAATGACATTTTGAGTTCTAATTTATTTCTTATAAACACCTTTACAACAGTTGTGCCAGCATGACCTGTGTTGGGGGAAGCCAGTTTTAAGCCAGTTGCACAAGAGCTGTAGGAGAAAATTATGGTTTGTGTTTCATGAACACTTGAGAGTGGCAGCTATTACGCAGAAGCAAAAAGTGTCTTATATACTGACAAGTGTGCTGTAGTATATATTTTCATGTTCGACGGTTATAGTCCTTTCAAACGAGATGGAGTGATCAGATTTTAATCTCATGAATTTATTTTGTTATCTCTGCGAAATAATTTGAAGAAAGTGTGGTAGAGCCTAGGTCAATGAGTTTAGCTTTCACCTAACAAAAGAGAGCCACGTATGTAATTCCGTCATACATGTACCACTTGTGGATTAAAGGAACAAGCATAAAATTAAAGTTCTGCATATTATGCAGAACTGAGATGGTGGCTTGCAAGTAATTCTCATTTGCTGACTATTCATTCACTTAAATGTATCAAGAAAAGTTTGGTGTAGTTCTTTCTGTGTGAGTTCATGTTTGTTTATTTTTCTGGGAGATCTCATTCAAAACTACAACTCTCCACTTTGGATGTAATGCAGGCCTCATCAACATTTTCACATAACCACCCACCTATTTGATTTAGGTATTTAAAGGCTCCCAGTGACCTGGTTGGGTGGGGATGATGGGTTTTCTAATCCAAATTCTGGCACCTACCTTGGCTGTGCCAGTATCTTATAATAATTCAGTGGAGTGGGAATGGTTCAGAGACAGATACAATTGGAAGCATCTGATCCCTAGCCTGACAATTATTTGTGTGTTTGTCCCGAAGCATTTAGAAACTGAATCAGATTGTTGAAAAGTTTTGTTCACTTATGGAATGAGATAAAAGACTTGTTTTTTGCCCCTAATCAGGGGTTTGGTTAGGTTAGGTTAGGTTAGGTTAGTTTGTAATGATCTAGGATGTTTCCCAGCATGCTGGCTGGGAAATTCTGGGAGCTGACATCCACACATCTTAAAGTTACCAAGGTTGAGAAACACTGTTTTAGACACTTACTGAAAATGGGAATCATAAATGCTTAGGATGACCTGGAGAAATGCATTGACTGTTCTTACAGCTGTGAATGCAGCAATCATGCTGGGAAAGGATGCTGCAAAAATAGACATTTGGTTTTGAAAAGATTACTTCATGATTTCTGTCAAGTTATTGCATTATGACATGTGAATACACATCCTTTTTTTTAATCTCTTTTTTTTTTCAATTTCAGTGCAGAATTGAGAAGGGCATATTTATTTCTGAAAATTTTTCTTATAGCTGTTATGAAGGGATATTTGGGCTTAAACCATCATGGTTAGGAGACCACAACAGAGGTTAATTTCTACAGTTGCCACAGGTAGAGGGTAGAACAGATGTTACATAAATATGTGGCTGATCCTAACAATGGCAGCCCTATATTGGGGTTTTCTTTCTCCTCTATGAAATGTTTATCTGCATTAACTGCTGGTTGCAATGGGGGAACATGCTGGCTGGGGAATTCTGGAAGCTGAAATTCACACATGTGAAAGTTGCCAAGTTTGAAAAACACTGTTCTATATCAACCAGTGCTCAGGGCTCTCTCAGTTGTTGGAATGCTCCTTCCCCCTTGAGATTACTGTCTCATCACAACAACCTTCCAGTTGACTCACACGACATAGTAGCAGGCATGAAACTGCCTTCCGCTGACCTGGACCTGGGTCCTCTTTCCTCTTTCAACACATTATTACCACCTTTGTTCAATCCCCCACCCGTCCAGCTTGAAGACATCAAAGTTGTTTGAAGACAGCAAAGTTGCAGGAATGTATAATTGTATCATTGATAGTATATTAGGATTGTTTCATCATAGTGCATGCATCTTTTATTCCACTTGTATCCTATTCTTCATTTCAGTCAGGGGTGGGCAATTTTTTTGGCTGGGGCGTGCACCTAAATTCCAAGGAGTCTTTTGAGGGTGAAGCAAAAAAAAAAAAAAAGAGTCTCTTGAGGGCACTGTCACAAATGAGCTGTCATGGGGATGTGGCCAGTGGCAAAAAGCCCATTTACCAGATGGAAAGATGGCAATGTTGCTCCCTACCACCTGCTGCACTTTCAAGTGAAACACTTGCTTCAGCCACCTAACATCTTTATTTTCTATGATTGTCT